CTGCTTTCCCTTATAGCTCCTCAGGACCCAAACACTGGACTTGCTCTGAAATCCTGGGTAAGCCACTTAGCCAGTTGTGCTTTGTTTTCCCTCCTTCATTAATTGTTGATTTGTTGTCTTGCATTGGGGCAGGACTCCTAGGAATGCTGTGTACAATGCCCTGCAGTGACTGGGGTCATCTGAGGACCAGCTGTGGAAAATTTGGCTGTGCTCCCCACTTTCCTTTCCTCCTTGTCAGGCTGTGGGGGGAAAAAAAACAAACCCAAAGTTGTCATGTGCACACGGTGGTCACGGTCACATAGATAAGGGCTTGGCTGTTGGTAGCATTTTAGCCATGACTTCTCTTTACCTCTTTAACACAGCTTACTGCTACAACAAGAAGCTTTCAGAGACAATATATTGGAAACCATGACACAGTAATGCTACCTTGAAAGTAGTATCTCCCCTTTTCAGGAAGAGCACCTTGGGTCTGTTCTTCTGTTTGTTGAAATTTGCAGATTCTTCAAGTTCTGTGTTCAAGTTTTTCGTTCTTCAGCTTTGGGGCTTTGAAACTATTTTGATGCTTGAGTTTCACATGTAATTACTAGTCTCCAGGAACTGAGTCTTAAAATAAAGTGCCAGCTGTCACAAGCATCAGAATCAAATTGGAGGATCTGACAATCTATAAGCATAGGCAGGTGACGTGACTTACCCAGGGCCATATGGCAAGCTAAGTCAGGATTAAAATTTAGGTCTTGTGATTTCCCCAAAGAATGCCATGCCCATGGGATCCAGCTGGCTTTCTGGCACAGCTTTGCACAGGACAAACTGCAGTGGTTAAAATATGTGCATAAGACTGGTCTGAGTTACCACTGTGTAGAGATGTAAGACTTGGTGTTAGCTGTCTTTACTGGCAGTCAAATTTCCCATTCTGTGCTGTGTCTGAGAAGATCTGTGTTTGCTTTCCAGACTCTGGGAAAGGTGTCTTGCAGGAGCAGGTGAATTTTTGCTTGCCAGGCCCCAGCACACACTGTGGCAGGAGATATCTGGTGTAATCCACAGGTCCTGAAGACTGGCTTTCTCTGAAGCTCTGTATCAGGTTGTTCAGATGTTGGACACTGCCCAGATCTGGACTGTGAAGTATCAGAGCTGACCTTGAGCACAGGCAGCCAAACCCCTGGGGTGGGGGGGAAAGGGGGCTGCAGAAGAACATTACACACCAAGGCTGGCCAGGGTGATTGGAGCCCATTGGTGCCCCCATGTCCCTGGCACTTCCATCTTTCTGGTAGATCTCCCAGGCCCAGTTTTGGTCTCTGCCACAGTTCCCAGATGTGAAGGTAGCAGGAAGCACATGTTTGAACTGAAGCTGGGCGGAACTCCATCTCTTGTGGAGCGGGTGCTGGTCAAACCCTGTACCCGGAAAACTGGAATAGTCCCATAAAGCTTTGTCAGCACCCACTGATTGCAGCAGGCACCCCGTTTCTGTCAGCATGTTCATGTGAACAGTGAATGTTTTCATACAGGTTCAAAGGGAGGCTGGACAAATGTCTTGGAAGACGAGGGAGGAACCATGTGGCTCAGGAATTGCCCCAGGCTGACAGCAGCTAGAGGCTGGCAGATCTCTTCAGGGAAGCCTTCTCTGTGCTTGCCCTGCTGTTACTTTTCTCTCGCCAGCCATTCATGGCCACTGTTGAGGGCAAGATGCTGGGCTAGATGAACTCTGCCATGACCCCTTGCATATGTTCTTACGATGCAATATCCAAGACACAGAGATTGTCCTGACTCCAGGCTAGGTGTGGAAATTAATTCTTAACTGGTGCTAACTCAATGACTGCCTTATCCTGGCAGGAGAGACCTGGAAAAAATAATCCTGTCAGAAAGTTTTGGTAACGACCAAAACTTTGTCACTGGAGGTGGGTTGGCTACATCTCACTGGGGGAGCCTGGCAGGTTTGCCTGACCAAAAGCATTAGATGCCCATACCTATCTTCTCTGTCTTCTCCACTTGTGTCAGGTAAGCATGGCTGTTCCCAAACTGATCCTTCTGCACTGAAGCCAGCTCTGCTGGCCTTGCTTTTGGGTACCAGTCCCAGTTTTCGTACTGTAGTGACCTCAGCCTCTTTGAAAGTTGTCCTTCAGTAGTGGTCTGCATCTTGCTGATGAAGCTGCTTCCCCAGTAGTTTGCAGTGATGATCTGTAACTGGGGAAGGTATGACAGCACTTGTTAGACTGAGATCTGCTTTGTGCCTCATCCACTTTTATACCATGCAATGCCCTTACAAACAGGGATGGACACAAAGAGCTTCTCAGTCAAAGGCCTCTGGGGGAGAAGTCCATCAGAGCTGCAGTGTATTTTGCTTACTGGGGCTCTCTGCTATTTGCTGCTTTGTTCCTCTACAAGTGCTGTCTCGCCATTGACAGAGCCACATCTGGCTTGAAGCCACTTGAAGCAGCTTGAACAGGAGACTCTGCACTCAGAACATTGAATTAATGGGCTTGATCTTTTACATGTGAGTGATCCTTTCAGACTCTTGTCCATGTCAGGCTCCCAGCTCTTCTAATTAAGAGGTTTTTAGCTCAGCCAATGTTTGGGAGCTGTGGTACAGCTGGGCTTCTGATAAAATGAGGAGATGCCAGAGGTAGTGATGTAGTGGGTCCGATTTCAGCTTGCAAATATGTTTCTGAGAGAGAACAGAACATCCTCCTCATATAACCTTTTGTTTGCTGCAGCAGAGCTGGGTAGACATCATCTGTGTGGGCTGCTCTTGCTTTTGAAATAGAAACGATGAAGCTGCTAACGAGAAAGTAAGATCTTCTTTACTTCTAGGGACCTCAGTGTCTTTTAGGCAGCTAGAGGGATGTTTCAGAAAATGTATTTCTTATTTGCACTTTTTCTTATTCTGGCTGTTTTCTGCAATCCTGTTATGGCTCTTGCTTTGAACTCCCATTTTGTTTCATCCCATGCTGCTGCCTGCACTCACCATCTGGTACCGGGTGCTGCTTGTGCTGAGACTGTGTCTTTGTGGAAGGAAAGGGTCCGGCAAAAAGCTTCAGCAAGGCAGCCTGTAGCAGGCAATAATTATCATTCATCAGTGTGGCTATGTGATTCCTCACTGTAATCACCTGTAAAATCTATGCAGTGTAAGATATTTGGGTCTCTTTTTTTTTTTTTGTTTCCTTTTGAGGCCAGCTTTGCAACTTTTACTTGAATGTGAAAAGTAAGCTGGGGTTCTTTCTGACCTCTTTACTACTAACACATACAGACTTGCCATCAGAAGCAAGCTGACTGTTCAGCTAATGGGTAGGATCAAGCTTTAGTCTCCAAATTTTGCTGTGTTGCCTCCATAACAACAAAAAAAAAAAGCTTTGTAGGAGGGTTTGTTTGAAAAAGAGCAAGAGAGGAGGACATCCCTTGCCTTCTTGCTTTTCATGCTTGGTTCCCTCCTTTCCTCTGCAGTATTCACCAAAGCTTGTGGCCAGCTCTGTGTCCATTGCTTGCCAGGGATGTCTACTTGACTAGAAACATATAATAGTAACCATTTATAGGTAGTTTTCTGCAGAGTTTCAAATAAGTGTCTTCTCAAGTGATGCTAAACGGAGGTGCCCTGAAAAAACACTGATTTGAAAGGGGGATTGAAGCGTTCTGCTTGTTCTTTGAAGCAGAACCACCCTCTGGCTCACGACCCAGCAGTAATAAATGGAGTCAAATAGTGTGGTGCGTAATTGCCTTCTCCTTTTGTGTCAGCTTCATATAGTTCTCGCATGTGACATTCTTCCTGGCCATCATGCTCTTTATCTTCCCATTGTACTAAGAGTGCAAACAAAATTAACTTGTTTGTTATCGTGGCATCTGTATGTGGCTTTTAATTTCTTGGAGGTTAAAAAAAAAAAAAACCAACCCTCAAGCCTTCTTTGTCTAGTACTGTTTAAATCTGCTCTCAGCCTGCTTGCACAGCTCACTGCTGCCTTGCAATGCAGAACACAAATCTGCAGAAGTCTAAAGCAGTCAGTGCAACAAGGCTTAAAAATGTGGTGGTGTTGCTGAAGAAAAGCTGGAGAGCGTTACGTGGCATCAGTGAGTCAGAAGGTGAGTTCGGGTAGGGATGTGTTGTACGCACCTTTACAATCACAGTTCTGTGCTTAAAGGGGTGCTCTCATTCCTAGCCTTTTTGTTTTAGGTACTTGTAAGTAACGGGAATTATTTTCTTTGGCCTCTGAAATGTGTCCATAGTTGTGTGGTTTCCTTCCTATAAAGGTGAACATTTCAGATTAAAATACTGTTTGGCAGCTTACGAGCTCTCAAAACAGAGGCTGGGAGGCAAGGAGGGCAGGAGTGCCCAGCTTGTTACATTTTTCCCAGTGCGTCACTTGCACAAATCTTCCTCCTCTCTGCTTTCGTCCTGCTCTGGGTTCTTGCAGTTGTGATGCAGGTTTGGTGTTCAAAGGTGGTGCAGAAAAGCAACAGGAGGAGGAAAAGCACATGGTATTACCAGAGGAACCAAGACCAGAGAAGCATCCTGGTGAGGGCATCCAGGGAGCTGTGCAAGAGCTGGGAGCTGGCTCTGCTTACAGTGTTTGAGCCCCTTGTCTCAGCTAATGCAGGACTATCACTGTGTTCCCATGCAGATTTATCTGCATGCTTTAACATCCCCTTCCTGTCCTCTCGTCTTCGCTGAAACCTTCCCTTGGCACCTGGCTTTCACCAGCAGAGAACACTGCCCTGTAGGTCTGAGCCAGAGGAGGAGAGATGGCAAAAGAGCATCGTTACTCAGTGCAGGGTCTGGAGCCCATCACAGTGTGGAGGGTTACAGCTGTGTGGTAGGCTTGGTTGTGCCCATGTTGTGTACAGTGTGTACCTCTGACACAAACCCTCTGCACACTGTCTTCCTCCCTTTCTCTCGGTAACAGATATGGATGCTGAATATTGTTCTTTCAAACCAACAAGGCACATAACTAGATGATATGTGGGGCATAAGTGGAGGGTCACATTTGACTGGGGTTTCTCTGTTTCCTGCCCCGCAGCTCTTCTGTTTGCCCCTGCCCTGGGGGAAAAGACTTTGAGACGATGGAGAACCAGAGGGGAGCGCTCTTGGGATACATCCACTGGGAAGGAGAAGAGGAAGGGGATGAGGAGGATGGGGTGGCTCCTGCTGCTTCCCCGTCCAGCCAAGCGAGCGAATTGGAAGATGTGCAGGTGGAGATGCTCGAGAAGGCAAGGGAGCTCTTCCAGCTGTGTGACAAGGACGAGAAGGGTTTTATCACCAAAGTGGACATGCAGGTGAGGGAAAAAATCTTTCCCCTTTCCTGGGAGGAACTGTAAAGTCATGGGTGGCAGAAGAGGGGAGAATGTGGCATGTCTTTACTTTTGGCAAGTATGGGTGTGCATGTGGGCTCTGTCTCATTCAGATTTCTGGGAACCAAACTCTGCCGCAGCCAGCTGCTAGGAACCAAAAATCCCAGGAGGACTTTGGACCTCCAGGGAATTCCTGGGACAAGTGGGACTGCAAATCCAAATTTTTAAGGAATGCATAAAATAAATAAATAATAATAAAAAAAGCAACAGTTCCTACAAACATTAAGCATTCAGTGGATGGGAAATCTGTGGGGAAAAAAAATCTTTGGTTTAATTTAAAAAAAAAAAACAAAACACCACCATCTGCAAAAAACACAGTCAATAACAAAAAGAATTCACCAACTTAATAAGAAAAGCTGTATTACTTTTTTGTCTCAATCATAGCTAAAGCCTGATCTCAAAAAAACTCACTTTAGGCCTGAACTATAACTTTGCTCTAGAATAATGTGTTTTGCGGCTTTCTGCTAAAACCAGTATTTGTAAACAGAATCTCTACAGTTCTTTGTGAGTTTTGTTTTAGTGGTTTATCAGGAAGGTTACATGCGGGTTGTTTTCTTCTGTCTCACCTCTCCCTCCATCTATAATTAACCCTTGGCAGGTCCATGCTGGTTTAATTATTGACTCACTTTGTTTTGGGTTGTGTGATGCCTGATTTTGTATAGTTACATTAATAAATATTTATTAAGCTTTTATCTAAAGCTGCCTGCTTAACAGACAGTAATGAGGTTTTAGTTTACACCTCTTGTATTTTGGAAGCTTCTTTGGGTGCCCCTTCACACTAGATGCTCTAAGATGTATTATGAAGGGAAATCTCTCTGCTCCTTGTCTGTGTTGTGGGAATAGTGATACAGTCCCAACAGGCACAAAATGACAGAAGAAAGCTAACTCTCTGCTATGGGCTGACCATTTTGTTTATGATGATCTGCAAGATTTCCTGCAAGAGCTGGGAACTGAATCCAGACACCCACAAGTCTGTCACCCTTCTCTGGCCAAAGAGGTGGAGCTGGTACCTGATGTGCCTATAGAGAGCTCTCTTGGGAGCAGCAGTGGTCACAGGAGGTTGGCAGTGCCCTGGGAGGCTGCCACCTTTGGGCAGGGCTTGGGCGGGGGTGGACGGAGTTAGGCAGTGAACTAGAGGCAGCTGTTCTGAAGTTGGGGAGGAAGAGGGTTGAGCTCCCTCCAAACAAAATAACCTGAAGCTCCCTCTCTGCAGTCTTGGTTGAATCATTCAGTAATGGAAAGCGTTGCTGTATCAGTGGGTCCAAACGGGCATTTGTGTCATCACGCAGCTGTACTGGCAGGCTGTCGCATCCCGGCCAGGATCCAGTGCTGAAAGTGCACATTGCTATGGGCCGAAGCTGAGGACGGCAGGGACAGGAGCTAGTCACAGGTAAGACTTGAGTCATGTCCTTATTTTGTTCATTCTTTTGTCTCTGCAGCGGCTCCAGAGTGAACTCCCCCTAACCCTTGAACAGCTGGAGACTGTTTTTGACAGCTTGGAACAGAACAATAATGGATACTTGACGCCTGTGGAGTTCAGCATGGGACTAGGTAGGGACTGCACAGACGCAGAGGAAGGAAAAAGCCCACCTGTGACATAATGCTTTATGTTGGTAAGAAAGAAAGTGCAGTGGTTCTGCTGAAGCTGTACCAGCTATGAAGGGAAATGCCCCATGCTTATGTGAATATCATTGGAGAAGGGGTGCGTGCAATACTGCTGTCCCCCTTCCTGAGGCTCTGTGTTGCCTTCTTGCACAACTGTTACCTGCCTACGTGGTAGAGCCAGCTTCTGAACATCTCTTACTGGAGATGGTACATACTGCAGCCTGTATCTGGCCATGTGATCCACAGTTGTTCGTTTGGATAAGGACCCTTGTTGGATGAGGGGACAGAAATATGCCTCTTGGCAACTGTCTCCAGCTGGTTTATGCAGTGCTGTTCAAGGATATTAGTAGGAGTCCTGTTAGTAGGCTAGCACACTGGCAAAAGAGGTTTTGTTTTCCTCTTGCTGTTGCCTTTTCCAAACACTAGGAGAATGCTAATCCTATACCAGAGTTGTCATCAGCAGCACAAGCAGTGCAAGAGGTGTTAAGGAGGGGGAACTACCACTGCATTAATACCCTTTGCCGCGGGTGCTTACTTGCTTTAGCTGGTTCTAAGCTCCCAGAAAACCTGCACCCTGTTAGCACCTTCCTTGGACATGTAGATGTGGTAATGGGATCAGGTCAAAGCAAGTGAACACAGGTGGTCTAGGGTTTTCAGAAGTGATTGAGGAGGCTCTTGAGTTGCAGTGTCCTAATTGCTCAGATGGTGGTTGCTCATGGCTTTCTCACAACTTGGAGAGAGGGGGGGTCTTTTTGTTGCTTCAATTTGAATGGCCAGAAACAGCCAGCCCTGAAAGGAGAAGCTGTAAAGTTTTCCTCTGAATAAACATGGAAAGCTGTGTCTTGGGTCAGCCTGTTCTGGGAACGTGTTAACCCATTGAGTGCCTGCTGACTGTGCCTGTTTCCGCCTTGTGCCCCAGCCTGTGGGGGTGAAGCCTCGTTTGCTGGTTCTGCTACCTTTGCCAGAAACAAGAGTCATCTCGGGAGCATGGGCTTTCCTGCCCAGTGTGGTGTAGAAGGTGAACGGGTGCCATTTGGGCACCTTGGCATCCACAGTGCCTTCTGTGTTATGACTTGGTTATTCCCAAATCTCATTGTCTCAGTCATTTTTCCCAGCCATAGCCATAGATGGACATCATGAGGGTACCTGCCTCAGTGCCATTGCTGGCAGAGGTAGGCAAGATTTCTCTTTGTGTCAGCCACCAGTTGTCACGTACCACCTTGTGTTGGTGGCTTGGCTCTGTGGGACTTGACCCAGTCTAGGCAAAACACTTCATTTCTGCATTTCTTTTCAGTTGTTCTTTCTGTCTGGCTTCATTGAAATAATTTTCAGACTTTGACCCTAACGCAAGAGTTTGGCCTGGCATATTGCTGTTTTCCTTCTGGAGTGTGCAGGGGGGAAATAAAGGGAAGCAGTTCAAGCTGCAATCAACTCTGCTTCTTGAGAGGGTTCCTTGCACGGCCTCTGAGAAGTTACAGGGTGCATCTTCACAGCTGACAAAAGAGCATACATTTAAAACGTTCAATTTAAAGCAATCTGAGATCCTTCTAGGATGTCAAAACAATCTTCAGATCATTCTCTACCTCAATTTTCCTAGCTGTAAAAGAGAGATAATGAGAGATAATGACTCTTTCTTTAAAGCAGACATCCAAAGTGCCTAATCTAAACGCATCACCTTAATTAACTGTCCGAACCTCAGGTTTTAAGCTGAGTAGGGCCTGTGTCTCCACACTGCAAGTTTTTTTTACAGCACATTTTAAGAGTGGGAGAGAAGCGGCTAGGTTCTGGACATACGGAGCTAAGAAGCAGTCGAGTTAAGTGACTTGAGGTACACAAATAGTGGATATTTTTCCCCTTAGAGCAGCTTCATGTTCTCATCCATGCTCTGAACATCCTTGGCTCCTGGCCCTGTAGCTGGGATGTCACTTCTGCCTTTTGAACCAAGCAGATATGTTTTGGAAAGGAAGAGTAGCTGCTAATGGAGGTCTGACCTCTGTATACAGGATGGGGGCCTGTGTTTTGAATAGGATTGCTTGATTTGTTTCTTTGAAAAGAATTTGTTCCCAGCACCAATATTTGTCACGTGCCTTGCATAGCATGAAATTCTCATGGCATTAGTGTCTCAGCATGAAACAGGATCCAGATAGCTGGAAGCCGTCCATATGTGGGATGGGACAGGAGGGAGTGTTTGGAGGGTAAGTTCATTTTGTTCAGACACTCCACACAATCCTAGCAAGAGGCGGTCCTTGTCCCATAGCACTTGAATCAGACCAGATGTAGCACATGAGAAGGGAAGGGTAATGATCTCCTCCTCACTTTTTTTTACGTTGGGGAACTGAGGCATGGTGCTGTTCAGTGCCGGGCTTGCAGTCCCAGAGGGAGCTTGTGGGATCATTGGCAACTGAACCCACAGCGCCGCTCCATGGGAGTGAAGTGACCTAATGCTGCGTGCTTCCCATGCTGAGAATCCAAGGCCGTGGGTGGTGGATCATCTTCACGCAGATGTGAGCAGAGCCCTAACAGCCTGTTGTTGGTCTGGGAGACAGTTTCACTCCCAGCATTGCAAACTGGATGCTGACATCACTCAGAATGTCAGAACGGAGGCTCTTTACTGACCAGGAGCTGTATTTTACACCAGCAGCGTGCAGGCAGCTTCTCGTGGGGTTCTGTCGGGCTGCCATTTAAATAGCAGCTTGTTAAATGACATCCAATTTGGCTTTCTTTATTCTCCTCCTTCCCTTCTCCTTCTACCAGGAAAGTTAATAGGGATTGAATTGTGTAAACGGGCTGGGAGAATGGATCACTCCAGACATGAGGAGACCTTCGAGTCAGGCTGGTCAGATGACTTGGACCCAGCAGATGATGATGAAGAGAAACGATTCTGTTCCATGATGGAGCAGCTTGGAGCAACCCACATGTTTGAAGAGTAAGTAGGGGTGTCGCATGGCATTACTGCTACCCTGTTTTGATCTTGCAATACCAAAACTTCAAAGTACCAGCAAAGACCAAAGAGGTGAACTGAACTGCTTGCTCTCTGAAGCACTGCTTGGGCTTTCTGTACCGCTGTCTTGGGTTTTCATACACTTGGTAACAAATGCAGTGAAGTCTGGGTTTTCTCATCAGTTTACAATTACTTTTAGTGCAGTGCTTTTCGCAGAGTGTCCCAAGCTAGAGGTCATACCACAGCTGTAAAATGTAGCAGTTGGTGGCATAGAAGCCTGTCTGCACACAGCAAATGAAAAGAAGCATGTAAGGGTTAGACAAGGTAAGAGGATGAGTGTGCTGTCTGTTCCAAAATGGTGGGTGACTGTTCACATATGTTCAAACAATTGTAGTTCTAAGAGTGTCTGTGAAAGATCTGTGCTCAAGGGCCTGTTTGGGACTGGGCTGATCTTGTAGAGTGTGAAAGGCTAAACTGGGCAAGGGATGCTCACCTGAGCCTTGAAATTTGATATTAATGCTCTTGCACATGGCCCCAGCAGAGTCTGCTGGCCTCAGTGTCATCCAGCCTTTTTTTAGGGCCTTCCCAAGTGAAGTATTATGCATAACTGCTTCCTAACCGATGCACATGTGCTGGGACTGGGGTGCCCCACAGCATCTGTGGCAGCCCGTTTTTTCAGGCATTGTAGACCAATGGTGCTGCCAGTTTTCAGGGACCAGCCCAGGTAGGGGCCGGAGACAGACAGGATTGGAGACAGAAGCTGAGAGTGAAGGAGTTTGCTGCTTTCAGAGCTGCATCTGTCATGAAACAGATTTTTTTTTTTTTTTTTGTCTCATTTGTATTGTGATGCAAAGCACCTGCATGTTTCTTTTAGTGGTAAACAACTTCTCCTGTCCTGAAAAATTCTGGAAAGCTGTTATGCCTCAAATAATGGAATGACACTGTGAAAGGCCATATTACTGGTCTGGAAAAATACCTTCTGCTGTTTAGAACTCTGCTTTGAAAAGCATCAGGTCTTAAAGTGAAATTATCCCATGTTTTATTTTGACCGCTTACTTGCAGTTTTATGCAATGAGTTCAGTCATGTCGTGCCTTTGTGCCAAGCCAGCTGTTGTAAAGAAGTAATATAAAACAGAAGCTAATTGGGGTTGGAGCAGGAATCTGAACTATCTTCACTGTTTTTGCTAGAAAGAAATGGTTTTGTTTATTAATGGAACTCAATATGTTCTGTTATCTAAAACATGAAGTTTTGATGAAGTGCTAGTAATTTTTTTAACTTGGGACAGAAAAAGGAGGCTATCATGCAACGGTGGCGGGGGAATCAAGAGCTTTTTGGTTGGTTTTTATTTGTTTTTTCACAAAGAATATTAAGGAAGACAAACACATACACAAAGAAAAATACCTATTTGGATAATGTCTATAGGTATAATTATTCTGTACATTTCAAGGCAGTTCCTCCAAACTACTTCATGGATTTAAAAAAAAAAATTTAAAAAATAATAAAAAGCTCTTCCCTAAAAAGAAGCAATGAAGTGATGTCTGC